GTTAATATTTTTTCCTGGTAATTTTTTTTTTCTTGAAAATACACAACTCTGCCATGGACACTCTGGCACTTGAGTACATGTGTGTCTGTGTTTGCTTATAATGTATTTCCCATACTGTGTATGAATGTGAATCAAAATGTATGATTATAGTAATAAATTGTATTGCCTGAAGCAGTGTGTATGTGAATTCCCATTGATCCACATCTTTTTCAACTCATGACATCATCATGATTCCTATGCTTTGCTGACATAATGGACATAAAATGCCCTTTTGCTGTGATCTGTACTGCATCCCTTTGGTTCCCATGGAAATTAATCAGTTTTCATACATCTGATCATTATGCTGCTTTCTTTTGGTCTTTTCACAAAAAGGTACTTTATAAAAGTCCAGGAAAAAGAGTTTAAAAGTGTTTAAAAACTTTGTAATTTTTGAATAGATTTTGCCCAGTAGCGTTTTCCATGATCATTTTGAGTAGGCTTCATTTATTAAAAATGACTTTTCTGTGTTTTCTTACTGATTTATAGGAATGTTTATTTTGAAATAGTGTATTGATAGTTTCATGGGTTGCAATATTTTCTTCTAGTTAGATTTATCTGTTTATTGTCTCCATTATTTGTGATGAATAGGAGTTGTAACTATTAAAATAGTTCATCAATCTTCAACTATAAGTGCTCCTATCTCTTTCAGAAGGCATCCTTTGTGTGAGCACTGTAGTTATTCCAATAATTTCAATTGGTTATTTAATACAAAAGTATTTTAGAAAGCTAAAATAATATTATCTGGAACATTAAACCCCGTCCACAGATATTATTAAATCACTCATCCATTGACATTTTGCTCTCAAGAGGGCTTAATTTATCCTCTTTGTCATCAGTTGAGATCACGCATTTTGGATGCAGTTTGATCAAGGCTCCATCCAGGCTTTCACATTGAATGAGTATCTAACTTTAGATAAACAGTGGTCCCTATGACTTTCAGTAGAGTTTCTGTTATGATATTATTGTATTTCAAGAAATCCATTGGGTACAATATATAGTCCAATTTATTATAGGGGATTTAAAATAAGAAACATTTTTTAAATTTATATTTTCTTTAATATATAAATCATGCATGCAGTTTGCTTTATCAGAACCAACCACATTACTTTGCAGCATCTCAAAGTATATGATTATATCACCTGAATAACTCCTTTGGGAACTGGACCTAATTTTATAGCAACAAGCTCCTTATAATTTGTTTCATTTTTGAGACTGAGAGTGACATTTCAATGTATACTGATTGGTTTGTTTTATTGTAGCTATTGACCCTCCTAAAAATTTAGACGTTCTGTTTTAAAATCAGTTAGAAAGGATTCTTAACATCTGAGCTATCACTCTGCCTATCTCACCTTCAGTCACCTTGAAATTTCTGTGACATCTTCTGAAGGATACTTGGTGACTGTCATTCATTTTAAGTGTAATGCTACTGACTTTTTCATGGCTCATGATTTTGTAGTCACTTCAATAATAGAACCAATTTGCAGCTGCAAGCGTGTATGCATAGCTTGTGCCTTTGTAATAACATGTAAACATGTGTTCTAGGGAGAATTATTTTCATTAGAATACATGCTTATCTTCCAGTCACACATTGTTTACATACAGAATAACTTATCCCTCCAATAAGGTATTATAATCTTTCCAAGAAATTATAAAAGAATATTGAGTCTAGTTAAACTTAAAATCTAACAATGTGAATCCATATGAAAACAAAAAATATCCTCTATCTCTGCCAATCGAGACCCACTTGACCCAAGGTCCTCCTTTTCAAGCACTCTTACTTCACTTCCCCAAACCATCAGTCTTTACTGTTCCTACAGGTGAGTTCATTTAGCTTTTGACATCCTGGAAAGTGCTATTCACATACTATTTTATTTAATATTTACAACAACATAAATCATGTGGGAGTAACACTAGAACACTAGTGATTGATAATATGAGGTTGCCTGGTGAGGGTCATTTAACTGCTGTGTTCTGGCTTCTCCACCAAAAACACTTGGTTTCATTTGTGTGGGCTGAGCACTACACCAGAATCACCTGGAAGACCTGGTAAATGTATAAAGCCCCAAGGTCTATTCTGCTTTAAGGAACCACTATCACCTCACTCTGTTGTCAGGCAAGGTGATTCAGATAACTTCAGATTTGGATGTAACTGGTCTGGGAATCAGTAACATCTGAAATTTTTAAAGCTCTCACGTGATGTCTCCGTAGTGCAGCTAAAGTTGGCAACTACTAAATAAGATAGTATTTGGGAAGCCTGAAAGTCTGGTATAAATCATCAACATTACTTTTTTAAAAAAAGAAAAAAGCATTTGCTCTATGAAATGAATTAACTATTATTTCATTAAAAAAAGCATAGGGTTATAAGTGACTGGTAATAATGATGCTATCTTGCATATAAATGACAGGGATGGGAAAATCATTTAATTAAGTCCATAAGACTAACAAGTGGTGAACTGGAACTCCTAGGCTAAGAGGCCACGTGACAAAGTGCTCCTGCTAACCATCTTTTGGAATTAAAAGGACATTGAAAACCCAAAAAGTTGGTAACATATGAAGTGATTTTCTGCTTTATACTTTAAAATACCCCTGGGTTTTATTTACATAATAAAAACTAATAAAAACTAGTTTGAAAAGAAGCTATCTTTGTTTGTTTTCAAAAAAATTATAATAGAAAGTAGAGACATAAGAAAATCTTCATGTATTAAAGATAGGTACAAACTGTCCAAGATAGGCAAGTAAGGCTTGAATTACTCTATTGAATTTGGAAGGAAGATCATAAAGTATTCGTAGGAATGGATATTTTGTCCCGTGGTTAAGACACCACTCAGGGTGTCTTGAACACACGGAGTGCCTGCATTTAAAGCCACTTCTGACTTTCTGCTAATGGGCACTCCTGAAAGCAGCAAATGATGGTTCAGGTAGCTGAGTTCCCACCACCCATAGGAAGAAAAAGAATAGTGAGCTCCCGTCCTAACTTTGCTCTGACCCACTCCTGAATATTGCAGGCATCTAGGAAGAAAAACTACAGATGGTAGATCTCTCTTTTTCTTCTTTTATCTCTAAAATAAAATAAATTATTTCCATTGCTAGTATTGAGAGGCCACCGTAAGAGTTTCAGATGGAAATATTTTGCTATAGTTAAATTGAAGGGAAAGGTAGACAGTGTTTGAGAAGAAAGAGTAAACCCGTGTACATCTTTGAATCAGTTCCAAGTGTTAACAATGCAATGAGTGAAAAGAAAGCAGCAGTTTATACTATAGAAATCTTATTTTTTCTCTCCTTGCATGATTGGAAAGATACTGCCTCAGTGGCATTCTATGCATGAACATATACAGCCCCATTAGTCACCTGTGTGTCTGTGATCCGGTAAGAGACTGCCTTCACCTCACTCTGCAAAAGCTATAGCAGGGTCTGAGAGACCCCTTGTTCCTCTTGACACCTAGCCATTCTGCAATGCTGCTTGCATAGGAGCAGAGTTCCTGTACCCCGATGTACATACATAAATGGGAAAGAAAGGTCTTTCTGCACAATATGAATTTCACTGTCATCAGTTGCAGAAGAGGACACTTGCTTGTTTTTGCATACTGTTTTTTTAACCAAAAAAGCTAAGTTTGCATCTATTTATATTAATATTATATTCCCAATGGCATCTTACTGAGATTCACTGTGTAGACAGCACTGAATTTTCAGCACCCCAGAGTGCTGAGGGTCAGCTCCTGACACTGGATGCTTCAGCAGTATGAATGAAATGAAAATATTCATTGAAAAGAACGTGTGTGTGCAAAGAACAGACTAACTGCACTGCCAAACAAGCTCTTGTAGGTCCTAAATAAATTATATCCTAGATTTTGGGTGGTAGTGTCGTAACTGCCTCAAAGACTAATTCTAGAATTATTTTCACAGTGAGCAAATGACACTTGGTGTCCAAATAATGTGGTGCTTTTTTTTTTTTTAATGAGTGGGAAAAGACGTAAACAGATAGTGCTGTGAAATCCTGTTGGTTCCTAAAACATTGGACGTTGCAGGAAAATACTAATGGAAAAGAGACAAACAAAAGTTGATTTCGGGTTTCAGTGCCAAATATGATTCTAATTTCTGTGGACTGATAATGGAACAAGAGGCTTTAAAACGCTTTGGTAATAAAGCTGTGTTGTACTGGAAGTGGCAGGAAAAGTGAATTGCAGGCAGTCGCCAACAGGACCTGGGTTTGCCACCGACAGGTGCGCTAACCTCAGCTGTGGCCAAGGAGCTCAGCCATGGCTCTGTAATTAAGGACTGCCGTCCCTTCCCAGATCCAACTGGACCAGCAATTTCTAGTGGATCCACTGGACATTCTCTCTGCTATGGGAAAGATCAACACACTATTGAATCCTCTAGTAGGGAAAGAGACTGGATTCATTTTAATAGCGGATCTTCACCCAGATGTAGTTTCTCAGCGACGCGCGCACACACACACACCATTCTGGGCAACTTTACCAGATCACATCCCCAGTCCTGTGAGAGCCAGCCAGCAGTCACCAAAGCCCATCTCTCCAAGAGCTGCGAGGCAAGTGGAGGTGAAGAGCGAGTCTCCTGGGCAGCAGGGCGCTGTGGGGGAGGGAGGCGCGGGCGCGAGGAGGGGAAGGCTCGGGCAGACGGGTCTGACTCCTGACTGGCTGGAGAGGCTTTGGAGAAAGTCAGAGCTGCCGCTCGCCAGTCGGGAGCTGTCCAACTTTTCAGCCGCTCAGAGATCAGGCTTTGGGGCACCTGGACGGAGGAGGCTAACGCCGCGGACGTTGCCGCGGCTCCAGCTGCAAACAATTCCTGCTCTCGCCGCCGGCGCCCAGAGGAAGGAAAGGAAGAAGAAAGGGAGGGAGGAGAGCGCGCCGGACCCGTGGTCGAGCCGCGCACCGCGCGTCCCAGCCTTGGTGGCCCCGGCAGCCCTGGAGCACCTCTCTGCCACGACCGCCGCCGTGAAGGAGCCGGGTCACATCTGCGACCCCTCCTGCTGACGGAGCCCCGAACCCCTGGTGGCTTCCAGTGGAAGCTGAGCCCAGGCTCTGTGGTGAGGCTTGGCGACGGCGGCGGCGGCGGCGGCAGCAGCAAGGAGCCGCTCTGGCCGGTGAGGTGAACCGGGGCTGGGCAGCAGGGCTCGCGGAAGCGCGAGCCAGGATGGAGGCTGAGGGCAGCACCGCGCCAGCCCGGGCAGCTAGCGGCGAGGGCAGCGACGGCGCCGGCGGGGCCACTCTCAAAGCCCCCAAACATCTCTGGAGACACGAGCAGCACCACCAGTACCCGCTCCGGCAGTCCCAGTTCCGCCTCCTGCATGCCCATCACCACCTGCCCCCTCCGCCGCCGCCCTCGCCCCAGCCCCAGGGTCCGCTGCAGCCGCCGCCGCCGCCCCCTCTGCCGCCGCCCCCGCCACCGCCGGGGGCTGCCCGCGGCCGCTACGCCTCAAGCGGGGCCACCGGCCGCGTCCGGCATCGTGGCTACTCGGACACCGAGCGCTACCTGTACTGTCGCGCCATGGACCGCACCTCCTACGCCGTGGAGACCGGCCACCGACCCGGCCTGAAGAAATCCAGGATGTCCTGGCCCTCGTCGTTCCAGGGACTTAGGCGGTGAGTGGAGGGCGCCCCCTTCCCCGGTTCAGGCAAAGGGTCACCTCCCCCTCTTCGCAATTTTCCCAGTCGGTCTGATGACCATCGGCACCCTGGACCCGGGGTCAGATCCTATCCTGGTAGTTTGGGGTTGGGGAAGGGCGGGTAGGGACGTGCCTGTCCACACTGGGGCGGACACGGGTCCAGGTGTGTGTCAGGAGCCCTGAAAGTGCGGTGTGCTTCACTGGGGCTGTAGGCGCGCGTGTGCTCGCGCGCGCGCTCCTGAGTGGTCTGTTTCCCCCACCAGCCCTTCCCACCCACTCCATCCCACCCTGGCAAGTGAAACCTAATTCAGCTGGCTCCAGGCGTAGGAGGAGTAGGAAGAAGGGAGGTGGGGCAGGGCGGGAGCAAGTGAGGAGGGGTCTGTGAGATGGACCTAACCACAGTTTGTTGGAGGAGGGGTAGTGGATGGGGGGTCTGGGAAGAAGGTAGGACAGCTGCTGGGTCCCAGGTTGGTAGCTTAGCGCACACCTCCCCTCCCCCCCCCCCCCCCCCCCCCTGCGCGCCCCAACAACTCGTGGATCCCTTTGTCAAGTCGGGAAGTAAATAGAACTGCAAAAGGGGGAGAACAAACACGTGGGTGACTTGGAGAGTTTGGAGCAAAATGTTCAGCAATTTACGAGAGGGAAAGAGGAGGAGGGAGGACAGGGTGTGTGTATGTGTGTGTGTGTATGGGAGGGGTGGGTGTTACACTGCCTCTGTGTGCGGATCGGTCGTCCCCGCAGAATCCTAGCTGGGAAGCACCTCTTCTTAGCAGCAGGCAAGACATGGAGCTGTGATTATAGCGATTTCCTCTCAACATTAAGTGCTCCGGAAGCCAAGGCGAGGACGCTGCCTGTCAACCCTGAGTTGAAAGAAATGCCTACCCGGGGCTTTTCCCAGGAAATGAGTGGTGTCAAGGGTGTAAGCGCTGGATTCTTACTGCAGACATGAGGTGAACCTTGAACCTGCCTCTGGTGTTCTTCCTGGTCACCCAGAAACTGCTCCTTTTTTTTTTTTTTTAACTGCGTCTTGGCCTTTCAAGCCATGGCCCTCCTCCTCTGTTAACACTCAAAAAAGGGTTCACAACCTACTGCCTGCCCATTGGCAGTGCCTGATGGCCATGTGCTGTCATTGGGATCTAACCCCAACAGTGACCAGTCAGCACTGGTGTCCCACCCAGGCTGGTATGGGTGTGGTGGGATATGGAACTCAGGTCTGGGCATGGAAACAGGGAAACCTGGCACTGTTGGTGTTGGTCCAGCTCCCACTTGACAGTCGCTTGAATTTTTCTGAAAATCATAACGAGGTGATCAAGTATGTGTATCTGAGTTTCCTTTGTTTTAATTTTTTCTTGTTGGATATGAGTATTGCTCCGTGTGTGTTGCATACATTGTGAACAAGGGAATTCAGCCCAGTGGAGTGTCCCAACCTGCTTGGGTACACGAACCCCAGGCCTTCTTTGCACTCTTAGGGATCTTGTTGGTGATGTCAGTGTGTCTGCTGGATACAACGAAGAAGAGTCGTACCTAATAAACTCTGTGCAGATCTATTTCAACTCTGGCGAGGGGTGTGCATTATAGACGTTCAGCAATTAACACATATTTCATTTTCATAACCAGACTGCTAAAACGCACGTGCAACTTTTATGCTTTGTTTGAAGAGGTGAATGTCCACTTTGAGTAGGCACTGCACTGTGGGACTCCTGGGGAGAAGAGAAGCAAACATCACAGTTCCTGTCTTTGACTTATCAACAGTTAAGTCATGTGAGGTTGAGCCTCTGGCAAACACTAAATAAGAACAAGAGATCTAGCTTAATCTGAGGGCTTACTAATTATGCAGCGTCTCTTAATTGATTTCATTTTTTAATCAAATGAATATGAGAGAGTGGAGAAGCGAAAAATAAGCTAATTGGAATAGAGGTATTACATCACTGATTTGAATTTATTTTTTGCAGCACTCTCTACCCTGATTAATTGTTCTATTTGAATTCCTTAGTTGAATGATTCACAGGAAAGCCAAGATGTATAATGTTTACATACACTTCCAGTATGGCTCATCTGATACATCATTGTTATTCTATTTAAGGATCCTTGGACTTAAAAAGTCTTTGCATGTCTCCTCACACATTACACATCATGCTTTTTTCCTAATAGAGTTGTTTTTGCGTATACTTCCAAATCTAGTTACAAGGAACAGCTTGGTTATGAGCTTCATTCTGCAGAGAGAATAGTCACAATGACTTATCAATGAACATTTCCCATTGATCCATTTATTTAGATCCTGCAGCAGCACTGAGATGAGATAGCAGCAGCAGCTCCATTTTCCCAACAAGACCACCAACCCTTACAAGATTCTGTGTGTTTAGTATCACACAGACTGTGAGTGCCAGAGCTGAGACCAAAGCCCCCAGTTTGCTGCCCCCATAGAGGGGCTCTTGGAATAATTAGGTGCAAAATCTAGGCATGCTGAGACACTCCCCCAAAATAAATGAAAGCAAACATGAAGTTTGTCATATATCGATATCCCAGGACATAAAGTCCTAATGAACCCTTTACTAAAATGAAAGATTGTGTACGTTTCTGGATAAATGGATGTTAATGATCCCAGGATATTGAAAACTATGTGTGTTTTATATAGTACATTCGATTATGGAAAGTGTTGAGAGAAATGAAAGTTCATCAGAACATTTCCAGTGGCTTTCAGCAATCTTGTAAAAGAGAATAAACAAAGGTGTGAGTGCGTGAGTGCTGGGGTAGATGACACACATTTTCACATGACTCACACACAGTTGCCTAAGTGGAGGGTTTTAAATCGTCTGTTAAGTTAATGTATCTGGAAAAGCTCCTGGGTGGATGGATGAATGATTCCCCATGCATTACTAAGGAAGATGGGTCTTTTAAAAAGCTACTCCCAGCATGCACAGTAGCATTTCCAGATATTAACTTGACTACATTTTGAAGAGTACTTGCAGTTTGTAAAGCGATGGGAAAGAATTGGATTTAAGGAAGACATTAAATATTAAAGAGGCAAACTTTTAACATGTCATAGTTCTTTTTAGTGTTACATTGTATCTATCTAACAAGATAGCTAACTTCAAAAAGTTGATTGAAAAAAATTGAAGATAAATTCTGTTTTGGTCTAACTTTTTAGAAAATGTATGGGAAATGTAAATTACTAAGAATCATGCCTGTCTTTCAAATTTTTTTGCACCAAATCTATGCTTTTATTATATTTTCCTTGAGCCTTGGCATTCTCAATACAAATGAAAGTTGGAAATTGAAACAACGTAGGTAATTCCTTGATACTAAGAAGATATTACAGGTGATAGATATGTGAATATCAAGAAAGTGATATTTGATTTAGGTATTTCATGATAAAAATAGCTAAAATCTGTAAATACACTAAATGTAAGTTGGATGCACATTATATTTGATTTGACACTAGCCTTTCAAATACAGTAGTGTGGTAAATTAAAGGAAATGATATATTTTAACATTTACATAGCAAACAAGTCAGGTTTTAATGTTTCTACTCAGGGTGAAAGATATTTCTACACAAATGAAAGATATCTGATTTTAAGGTTTACTGATTTTAAGGGTTTTTTTTTTTTAAGTGTAATTGGTTCTTCATTGAAGGTCATAATGGTAATTTAAGCTCACAATGAAAATTAGTTTTTGCATCACCAATATATCTAGCTGATAAATTGATCCTTCACATTATCTGTGTCAGGCATCTGAGACTTTGGATTTTAGTAAACAGTAACTTTAAATATCAGATATCTTACATAGTTAATGCCTTTAAATTTTAGTGAGAGCAGTAAAGAGATTTAAGTGAGAAAAATGTAAGCAAGAAATAATGTGTTTTATATTTTACATATATAGCCAAAAGTGTTGGACAGTTTTTAAAAATCTAATTTGAGCATTTCTGTCATTGTTTGAAACCAGTAAAGATAGTCCTGGTAAGTTGATTTAGTGTTTTATCGGAGTGGTTATTTTGAGAACTTGATGTATCTGCGAGGTGTCAATGATCTCTCTCCTTGTTGCAATTTAATTCAGGAATTATGGACTCTCCTTTTTTTCATGGAGATGGAAAGTTGTAGGCAGGAGGAGATAGGAGAGAAAGAGGAACCGAAACATAGCCTGCAAGCATGGAATTTTCAGCATAAACTCTATCGTTTTTATGAGATGTATGTATTTATTTGTTCCATCCATTGGTAACTCCCCAGATGGTCGCAGTGGCTAGCATTGGACCACACCCATGCGAAGAGTTTCTTCTGGGTATCTCATGGAGGTAGCAAATGTCCAAAGACTTGGACCATCTTCCACTGCTTCTCTTGGGGCCTTTGCAGGGTGGTGGATTGGAAGTGCAGCAGTTGGAATGAATATGAACCAATGCCTGCATAGCATATCATATCACAAATGGTGATTTTACTTATTATACCACAAAACTAGTCCCTCTTATTCTTATCAAACTTGTTGCAATTGTTTAATCTTGGGTAGTAGCAGGGAAGCTGGGACCTAGTGTTGTCCACAGAAACACTTTGCCAATTACATGAAACATCAAGAAAGGAAAGAATTTACATGGAAACTAACCTCAGTTGTTACTGCCCATCTTCTACATCCATAGAACCTGTGTCTTGAATAGATAAACTTCTTAACAAGCTCACTGATAGGAGATATGCAGGATGCAATTTGCATTCTAACAAATGTTTCACATTTTATACGTTATGACTTTCTTGTAGCAATTACTGTCTCATACACCAGGCCACTGCTTAAAACTAGAAGTTTGGGGATTGCTTTCTAAAAGCCATTTGTGATTAAACAGGATCTAAAAATGGCATGATAGAAATGACTTTAAAACAAAGTATTCTTTCACTTTCCAATTTGAATACATTTACATACACACATCTGCACACACACACAGACACACACACACATTCCTTCTGAACACCTGATTTGGGTTTGGAGAAACATTTTGTT